GTGGCCTCTCCCGTTGCGGAGCACAGGCTCCGGACGCGCAGGCTCAGCGGCCATGGCTCACGGGCCCAGCCGCTCCACGGCATGCGGGATCCTCCCGGAGCGGGGCACGAACCCGTGTCCCCTGCATCGGCAGGCGGACTCTCAACCACTGCGCCACCAGGGAAGCCCAAAAGTGCTAATTTTTTTATTGTTCACTACACGTGGCTAATTCTTGTGCCAAACTGACATTCCAAGAGGACAGCCAAGTACTGACTGATGTCACCACCTGGTTTTACCAAGTCGTGTTCACCTCTCACTGACCGTCTCCAGATTCTGTTAGGGCAGAGTGGATGTCTATATTGTTCACGGTCATGCTCCCAGCTCAGTTCCTGGCTCTCAGAAGGTCGTCAATAACTGTTCAGTTAGGCTGAATTGGCTCAGCTGGAATTGAAGAATCAGAAGCAATTGGAAGGGAGCTTAGAGCTAGTTCTCAGCATCCTCATCCATTCCACCCCTCCCAGCACGATACCAGCCCCTCCTCTTCCATGTTCCCCTCCGTCAGTGATGGGAAATACAATGTGCTGTTAGCAAGCAGTCAAATCTACTTCAATAATCCTGCCTTAGACCCTCTCCAGATGATGCTAAGGCCAAACTAGATAGTCATAATGTTCTTGGCCAAAAGCCTATACTTTTAAAATGAAATTACATGAGATTCATATGAGTTTTGTTTTTTGTGGTAAGCGGGCCTCTCACTGCCGTGGCCTCTCCCGTTGCAGAGCACAGGCTCCAGATGAGCAGGCTCAGTGGCCATGGCTCACGGGCCCAGCCGCTCCGCAGCATGTGGGATCCTCCCGGATCGGGGCACGAACCCGTGTCCCCCGCATTGGCAGGCAGACTCCCAACCACTGCGCCACCAGGGAAGCCCCCATATGAGTTTTAATATAACCGTAACAAGTATTAATAATGCATGCTGTATAATCAATTGGCATTCTCCCCCAAAGAGCTCAAATTCTTATTGTGATAAATTTGTACTTACAGATAAACAGGAATACATCTCTCTTCATAAGGGGCAAAATAACCTTTTAGCTTCATAGAAGTTTCCCAACAATGATGTGATGTAGTTCCACTAGGCTGGAAGAGCATGGGCTTGAGAATTTCAGATCACCGGTCAGCAGTATAACTCTGGAATGGAATTTAATTTCTAAATGCACACTCTCACCCCAACCAAAATGTCTAACTTGTCTATCTCAGGGACTCCACACCTTGAAAACTTCGAATCCTTTTAACCATTCATTCATCCAATAACTGAGTTCCTGATATATGCCAAGCACCATGCTAGGTACCAGAGGCACAGTGGTGAACACGATGGGCATGGTTCCTATTCTCATTGAGCTTTTAGTTTAGGGCCAAACAAAATGAAAGCAAGCAGCAACAAAAACTCAAGTTGAGATAAAAATGATGAAGGAGAAAGAAAATGCTAAGATGGAGAATAATGGAGGAGAGAGATTGAGTTTAAATAGAATGGTCTTAGAAGACCCCTGGGGAGGTGATATTTAAGTTGAGGTCTTTGCAATAAAAAAAAAAAAAAAAAAAAAAAAAAGAAGAAAAGCTTTCCAGGCAGGAGGAAGAACAAATGTAAAGACTCTATGTCCTTGGCTTGATGCTAAGAAAAAAAACAGACATGGGGAATGTGACACAAGATGATGCAGGGATAGGCAGGGGCATGACACACTTAGGGGCCATGGTCAGAGGAGCCCAGATTGGTGCTTTGGGAGCCATAGAAAAGTTATAAGCTGTGAGGCAATGTGATCTAATTTAAGTTTTGAGAAAAAAATTCTTGGTGTTCTCGTGAGAATGGACTGGCAGAGGCTTAGAGCAAAAACAAGTAGATGGGTTAGGATGCTATGACAGGAGTAGGCAAGAGAAGGTGGCAAGCAGTATTAGGGTGTTGGCAATGCAGATGGAGAAAAGTGAGGCAGATTTTGAGCTAGATTTTGATGAGTTCATTGACAGGACTTGCAGATGGATTGATGTGGGAGGTAAGGGACGACTCTTAGATTTCTGGCTTGATGAATGGAATGGATTGGAAGCCCAAAACAATAAAGTCATAGAGGAGAACTGCTCTGCTTAAAGAGAGAGAAAAGGAAAAGGGGAGGTCTGGGTCCTGTCCACTGGGGCGCCTTCGCAACTGTCCTTGGGTCTCCCTAGGATACCTAGGTCATGATTCTTAAATTTTAGGGTGCTGAGCCGTTTGGAAAGCATATTAACATACCGGTTTCTACATGTAGTGTTTCTGGAACAGAGCACTTGAAGCAGATATAGACCAGAAGGTTAATGTTGATGTGTCTGCTTACAAGCTACACTGCTTTCAACTAACCTTCAGATTGGTTGGAAACATTTAAAGCAACTGGCAAGCCGTTTGCTGGCAGACTTATGGCCCCTTTTTATATATGTGTAAAAACCAAGGTAGCCTTTTTTTTTACTTCGTGTTTTTTCCACTCTTCACATTCTACTGAAATAAAATAGAACCAATGGCTATTATTTATATCGCTAGAAACTCTTTGAGTGGTTCTTCCAGTGGTTGGGAGATATTGTATTTTCTTCACTTAATGATGCTATCGTGTCATCGACTATAATCACGAGAACTAATTCATATGAATGTATAAATGTGTCTCTGCTGAAAAAGACTGATACAACAGTACCCAGTATGTGTTAATTTGTGTAACAATTAAGATATACTTTAGCACAGAAACTAAAAGGGCATTTGGCCATTGTTCTTTTACCTTGATGCCTTATTTATTTGGATTGGCTTTATCCTCATCAAATACTTGCTTCGATTTGCACTTTCTGAATTTATCAAAAATGAATAAAGGTGAAGCAGGAACTTGCTAATTAATCCATTAACAAGATCAACACAGAGAGTCAAAGAGGGTAAGTCAGCCCCAAACAAAGCTGGCTGATTTTTTTTTTTTGTAAATAAAGTCTAATCAGCCTTCCCTGTGTTTCTGATGTTAGCAGATGAGCTGTCTAGCTGGAACCATGCATCCCTTCAAATGACTTACAGAAGCGTCTGGTCCTGCTGTGAGCAGGTCCTGCTCATTATCACTCATTCTTCTCTTGAAAGAGAATGTTTCCGCTCTGCTGGTGTACACCTCTCTCCTGCCTCTGAATGGTTATCACACTTATGCGACTCATGACGCACTCGCTCCATCCCGCTTAGCAGTCAGCTGTGCATCTTTCCTATCTCCCCCACTAGACATTGCGAGCATTCCCCGAGGTCCAGGCCTTGTCCTTCTGCTCTGGTTTCATCTCAGCTCTCTTGCTCTGAAGATTTTCGAGCCTTATCTCTAACTTTGACCTTTTCCCTTGGCCCCGACCTAAATTTCCAACAGTCTGCTGGGTATTTCACTCCCATCTCAAGCCCCACGTGTCATATATTGAATAGTTCACCAACTGCTACCTCTTAACTCCTCTCTCTGTTAATGATCACCATCCTCCCAGCTGGAGACACACATGCTTCTCGTGTCTCTTTCACTCCCTTTCTAATCAGTCACTTTGTCCTATTGATTTTCCCTGTTCTCATCAAAATGACTTATTTACTCACCACCAAATACACCTTGCACTTTCCCACTGCTAATATTATTACCTGCAGTTTCACCTACCATGAGAGCCTTCTTATCTGCTTATTGACATGCTCCAAGGAGTTCCAGGCTCACCTGTAAAGTCAGCCTTTATCTTAAGCAGCATCTGTCCCAAGCATTTAGCTTCTCCTCTGAATTCTAGCAGGTGTTGACTTCCTTTATCAAAATGATCATGCACCTTTTCTTTTTGAAATGTTAGATTGTGGTGAAGGTGTTTTTGAAATCCTTTATTGTTATTCAACTTCTCTCATTTGCATGGTTACTTCAACTAGATTGTAAATTCCTTGAAGACAGGAACGCTGTCTTAAATACCATTGTACTGCGCACAGGCTAGACACTCAAAAATACTGGTTGATTTGTTTGAGTTGGATTTGTCTGATGATAGAGATGGAGAGACACGCACTGTAATTCAGTTTCAATTCAGTCGCTCATTAAGTTGGCCCATTAAACACAAATAAGTTATTTTCTCTTCTAATATATTGCTCACAACACTTTTTTTTTTCCCTTAAGTCGTTGAAAAGCACAATAAAAACTGGGCAAAAAAGACTTCTGATAGATGTGTTTGCAAAAACTTTTCTCTTATACTCTTCTAAAGTAAATACAAGACCCGCAGACACTGAATTTATAGTAGTCGTCTCTTGGCTAAATAACGCTGCGTGACAAACCACAACAACCCTGCAGTGGCTACAACAAGAAACCTTTATTTTTGTGCATGAGCGCGTAGGTTGGCTGGGTAGTTCTGCTGATCTGAGCTAGTCTAGGTGGGCTCACTCATGCCCCTGAAGCCTGCCATGGGGGTAGCAGCCGGCTCTGCTAATGTTGGTCTGGATCTCCTGGTGTCTGGGGCCTTGGCTGGGGTGACTGAGCTGACTGAGCTTGGCCCCATGTGTTCGCTCATCTTCCAGCAGGCTAGCTCAGGCTCATTCTCATGGTGATGCAGGGTACTGAGAGAGAGCCAGTGGAGCAAGTGGTGGCCTAATATCTAGACTCAGCACTGGCCCACCACTGTTCCTCTTCCCCACTGATTCAAGGGGTGGGGAAACAGGCCCCACTTCCCGATGGGCAGAGCTAATTCACATTGCAAAGGATATGGAAACAAGGATGGAGAACCCCAGCTGTTCTTGCAATCAACCTATCCCAGAGTAGACACACCTGATTTCATATACCAGCACAGTTTTCTAGTTGCATAATATTGGGTAATTTATTTACCCACTCTGAGCCACTTTCCCTCAATTGGAAAATAGGTCCTGTAAGACTCAAAGGAAATCTATACACAGGGCCTGGGACATTATAGGAACTCATTAAATTCCTCACAGCTCTCCCAACAGCTGTTTAGAGAAGGGAAAGAGGTGTACATCATCTCTTAACATGATGAAAATTAGATAATTTTATTTAAATTTGATTTGGAGAAACCAAACGCTAAACCCAAATGCATAATTCGGGAAAAAAATGACATAAAAGGTTGAGCAGTCATTTGAAAGATTTTGAAGAAATTAACTGGGAAACAAAGCTCAATGTTATTAAAATCAGTAGGACCTTTGAGCTGATCCTATGGGAGCAAGAAAGGGCAGGTCACAAAGTCTGTGGGGCAGACCATGGGGACTTTCTCATCGCTTTTTGGGTCATACTCCCCATCTGGTTGGGTGATAAAACCAGCAGTTTCTCTATCTTTCCCATTCTCCACGTAAACTTTCTTATCCCCGATGTGTTCTCGGAAGGAGTCCTAGCTGGGTCAGAGAACTCTCAAACTGCACAGCAGCCCTGAACCAGGAAGAAAGTCATAGTGTGGGGCTATCTTGGTCCTGCCCACAGTTGCTGACTTAGCTCAGAATAAATGTCATAAATCCTAATCGAATGAATCTATAAGAGGAAGAATCACAGAGGTGACAACAAAGGTGATGAGTAGCTAACATTCACTCATTCCACAAAGATTTATTGAAGTTCCTACTCTGTCAGCATTGGGGGAACAGTAAATGAGACTGAGAAGTTTTCTGCCATCAAATAGCTTATATTCTATGGGGTCAAGGGAAGAGTATTTGTATTTGCTGTATTTTCAGCTAACACTTATTTTATTTTTAATTTTCCCCTCAACTTTATTGAGGCATAAGTGACAAATCAAAATTCAACATACTCAAAGTGTACAGTGTGATGATTTGATATATGCATACATTGTGAAACGATTACCACAACCAAGCTAATTGAAACACCCATCACCTAACAGAGTTACCTTTTCTGTGTGTGTGGTGAGGGCACTTAAGTCTACTTACTTTGAAAATTTCAGTACACAATACAGTATTATTAACTATAGTCACCATGCCGTACATTAGATCCCCAGAATTTATGCATCTTATAAGTAAAAGTTTATATCCTTTGACCCCATTTCCCACAACACCCAGGCCCTGGCAACAATTGTTCTATTCTCTGCTTCTGTGAATTTAAATTTTTTAGATTCCACATGTAAGTGAGATCATACAGTATTTGTTTTTCTGTGTCTGGCTTATTCACATAGCATTATGTCCTCCAGGTTCATCCATGTTGTCA